TGAATAATTTTCCCCTCAACACTCTACCATTTCATTTTCCAAGACTTTTCCATACCCACCCTTTGCCTTCAGTTTCTATGACATCAGGTTTACTGGACATGCTGGCACCAGCAGGTGGCATGGTGATAAAGGCGCAGGATACCACACAGCTGACTGCATGGTTCAAGTCCAGAGTTAAGCTGCTCCCTCGCTTGGATTTTCTGCTCGCCCCCAAACCTTTCCACGTTGTCTAAGCGTTCTCTGTCATTCTTCCAGAGCCCTGTTGTCAGTCCGCTTCAGCACTGGCACTCAAGTCACTATTAGGCCCCACCCCAAAATTTGATCTATCACAATAGATCTTTGAGTTATAGCAGCTTGAGCGTTGTGACACGATACATTATGGTAACCCGTGGCACATAGAGACATTAACACTCCCGACTTTGACAAAATACACTGTGAAGTCTTTGAAGGCACCATTACAATTTATCTTGTCATTCACAAGGAGACACAGTTCAGCATTAATGTAGATGAACACAGTATGCCTTTTGTTTCATTTAATTGCTTGCAACCCTTTTTAATTACTATTTTAACAAAATACCAAACAGTTATATTTCAATTAACTTTTGGGAAGTGAGTTTTGTTTTGTTAGTATGTTTATTTTTAAGACATTCTGGTTCTCTCTGCCTTACCACTTTGAGTATGTGAAAATGTCTTCTCTTGGAAAGCTGTGGGTAGTTTAATGTGAAGTTCATAGACAGTGATCTTTTTTATTTTTTTTTGAGAGGTTTTCGCTACAGGGTGCGTGTGCTCGCCAGCCAGACAGAGAGAGACATAGAGACAGAAAGCGAGAAATCACCCCCCAGGGGGGATGGTCACGCCGCAATCACTTCTCCATTCTCCTCTCGGGATCTTGGGCACGCACGCACACGCGTCCGGCGTGAGTTTTAAGCCACCGGGTCTGGGACGCGAACCGTGGTCGACTACATGGGAGTTCAGCGACATAGCCTTTACGCTAACTGCTGGTTCCGACAGTAATCATTTTAATATGCAGGCAGTACAGTTCCATGCATCTTCTATGTGTGATTGGGTTTACTTCTTTCCAGAAGAATTCAAACAGTAAAGGTAACACATGAAGTCATAGGACTTTTCTGGTCCAAAAACATGCTTTTGGAATTATGTTTTGCTTCAGATAAAGGTCTTTAGATAACAGCGTCTACTGCATGTGCCTTTATTGGGCCCCTGAAGATCAGGAGCCCTGCCCTTTCCTCTTCAGCATTCCCCCATCATCTAGCATGCTGCTGGCATGGAGAGATGAGGGGCCGCCAGTTGCCCGTGCACAGACACGCCCCTCTGAGCTGCAGCACTCCTGGGCCTCCCTTGAAGAATGACTGGGACTCTGAGACAGAAGCTGCCTACATTCAGCAGATAGCCTGATTTGGAGTGAACAGCTTGAATCGGACTGTTCCTTCTCTACTCCCCCAGGTGCTGTTGCCCTGCTGCTTATAAAGCAAACAGACCCCTTGTCAGCCGGGGCAAGGCTCAGAACTCACCCAGGTGTCAGGGGGACTTCAGTCCTCACATGGGCTGTGAATTTACAGTCAGAGAGTAGAAGGTCAGTGCAAGAAGCATTAGCGTGTTGAGCCCGCTCCAGCTGTGTAAGTCTTGAACAAAATTAATATAAGGAAATTGACAAGTCTTGCTGGTTATTCCATAGCTTTAAGACCTCTACTAAAATCCTATCATCTCATCTGCCCATTATTAACATTTCAGCAAAATATAAAGTTTTCATTAATCTCGCACAGCAAATTTAGGAGTGAAAACTGGCACTTGTTTGAGCTTTTAGGACTACATTAGCTGGTGTATTAAACAAAATATGTCATTCTTCAGTAGCTTCTGTAAGAAGCTAAATCAATTTCCAGCCATATTTATGCACCACTTTATCTAAAAGCATCTGAATTATCATTTACAGCTAAGATGCTTTATTAGCAGCTGGCATTGAAATTGCTCAGTAAAAAATTATATGTCACGTTATAGTAATTTTTAAATTGGTTTTAATCCAACATCATAAAATGTAAAAATCTTAAGTGTGGCTTTTTTTTTTTTTTTTTAGTAATTGGCATTTTAGCATAATAAGCTATTACCTCTTTTCAAATCAAATACCTGCAATATTTAGAAAATATTAATTAGTAAAGAAAACAGAAGTTCTTCCGTTTAGAGCTAAGTTATGTCTAATAATGGCATTTTCTAAGAAAAAGTGGCTTTAAATCATTTTTAAAACATTACAAGACTTCAACATTTTCTCAAATTTTTCCATAATTCCCATGTAAAAAAAATTCTAAAACAGAATTAAACACATGTTGAAAGTTATGTTTCAGTAAAAATGTAGATTGGAAAAAGTGAATGATTATGCTAACCTCTAAATCCTAGACAGCCTTTCAGTTCAGGATGGGGACATTACCAGGAGACTCAAGGTCATGATACGTCTGTCTAGAATCACCTATGTCGAAAGAAAGGGAATGGCTTACCCAGGGCCCTTGCAGGCACGAAGTACCACTCTGCTACATCCTAGTGACGGGAGATTGGTTACGGCATAGCCTCTTTGATCTGCATTTTCCTATGGACATGTCCCCTGGGATGTTCATGGTACATTCTTATTCAGGTCGTGTTTTATCCTCTGCAAGGTAGTGCTCGCAGGGTCCGGACTGCAGTGTAAGTAAAGCAGTCACTGTGCCTGTCCTCTTGGGGTTTCTAGTTTAGTGGCAGAGACACATAATTACTCCCTGTGATAACTATCCTGAAGGAACATGCAGGGTATGGTGACAGAAGGAGTTAAACTAGACTTGGGGACCTGGGTCAGGGAAGGTTTCCCTGGACTGTGACTTGAGCTAAACCCTAGAGAAGGAACGGGGGAGTCCAGGAGGGAGTGGAATAGGGAGAAGGGTGACCTGGGCAGGGAAAATGGCATGTGCGAGACGCTCTAAGAAGGGGCTCTGTCGGAGGCATTGAACGAATAGCCCCTGAAGGGTAGGGGACGCCGTCACTGAGAGAAAAGTGTTATGGACCTAGATCTAGATGCTGGAACAGTCCAAGTGGACAATTATTGTAGGGTTTAGAAATAGAACACAGATTCCTCATAAATGAGTTCAATATGAAAGCATCAGAAACTAACTTCAGCTTTAAAAGCCTGCCCTGTAAGCAACAGCAGAGAGGAGACAAATCTAATTGTCAGGCTACCAGTTATGTGTCACAATGTTCCTGTGTGATACCCAGATCTAGAACTTTCCAACCCTCCAACTCTGTCCCAAGGAGTTCTCTGGGTTTCCCAGTGGAACTATCTCTTGGTGTTCAGCACAAGGTTGGGCCCCTGCACTGGTTGGCTTCTCTCAGGTGAATAGCTACCCCCTTCCCTACCACCGCCACAGCACACACACACACCACATATTACAGGCAAACGGCACCAGCAGCCACTCCTTCAGAAGTCCATATTCAGCAAATCTCTTAGTGTAACTTCAAGCATGTGACTAAGCCTCCCGAGCCCCAGATTCCTCATCTGTGCAGCATAAATTGTGGAACCTCCCAGTTTGTCATGAGGCTTAAATACAACAACATGCATAAAAAGTGCTAGCACCTTGCCTGACACATAATAAGCACTTATACATATGAGCTATTATTTAGCAAAATTTAGTGAGAGCATACTGGTTGCCTATACTACATGAGGAGAAGACATAAAGATGAATAAGGAACTTTACTGATGTTCACAGAATTTTCTGCTAGTGGACAGAGCAACCACTAAATAATTCTAGTACAAGACTCAACGTGATCTCTGACAATAGAATAAAAATCATCGTGATTACTGTTTATTAAGTGTATTACATATTGGATTCTCTGCATAAAATTTGACATTCTGTGAATGACCAAAAACTGGAGTTCAGAGAGGTACACTTGCTTGCCCTAGGTTACATAGCAAATGAGAGGCAGGACTAGGAGTTGAGCCCAGATCTTCTTGGCCTCCAAGATCCAGTATAAGTCAACTCTGTGAAATTAACTGCCAGTCAGAAACAGAAAAGCTTTCATGGAGAAGTAGAGTTTGAGCTAGCTTGGGGGCTTAAGGGAAGGGGAAGATTGACAAGTCTAAGGTGAGGGTGGAAGGGTGTTCTAGACCAAGCGCACCTACATGAATAGAGGCCCAGAACTCAAAAACCCCTGACTTTACACAGCCTAAGGAGTTAGGGAGGAGCTGAGAGAAGTGATGGGAAAGACTGGAAAGCTAAATTTTGGGCAGATTATGGGCTGCCTTGATTACTTGTGAAAAAATTCTGTTCCATTCAGAAGGTGGGAAGCCAGGGAGGGGTTCTGAGCACCATTCTTCTCATCTGTCTCCAAGTCGCATATCGGAGGACTTAGTATGCACCAGGCCCTCACTGACATTTAGTGAATGGGTGATGATTGGTGCTACAAAAGGATGAATGAGAAAGTCTTGTGGTGACTGGATTGCAGAGGGAGCCTTTTGGCCCAGAGGCCAATAAGGAGATTGTCATGGACATCCAAGCGCCATCAGCCTCCATCTGAGCCAGTGCAGGTTGTGGGTACAGAGCAGGAAACAGACGCTTTGGGAATCTGGGAAAGGACAGGGAATCTTCAAGGCACATGAATTACTTTTGTGATCAGGAAAATCATATTTAGAAAAAGGAACAGGAAATGTGACCACCCATGCGCTCATGACTTACTCTGGTGGAGACTGCTTGCTGAGAGCAAGAGTAAGTCTTCTACCCTCCTTGGAACCCTTCCGCCTGGCCAAGGGCCTTCCATAGAACAGGCAGCGTTTGTGGAATTAATTGTTGCATGATTAATATGTTACCGTTTTCTGTTTACTGGAATGGCATTATTAAGTCATCGCTCAGCCTTTTCTTCTCCAAATTAAATAGCCCATATTATTTTAATTTATCCCAAAGCATTTTAAGCAGACACCATTTGCCAAGCCTCATGTATCTTTATGTGTTAAACTGCTTTTTCCTCCCCAGGTTCAAGGGCAGACGGGGTTTTTGAGGAAGATTCGCAAATTGACATAGCGACGGTCCAGGATATGCTCAGCAGCCACCATTACAAGTCCTTCAAAGTCAGCATGCTCCACCGGCTGCGCTTCACCACCGACGTGCAGCTGGGTAAGTGCAGCCGGCGAGCAGCCCAGCTCCTCTATCAGCAGTCAGTGCAGAGGCGGGGAGGGAGGCAGCATGCAACTTTTATGTGACCTGATGACTACGGTGATTTGTTTTCTGAGAAAATGTTTGAACAATGCAATTCCAGGTCCATCCTTTTTCTCACCTGAGCGCTCTGTCTTGTCTTTTTTATGAAGCAGAAGATTAGAAATAGAAGTAACTTGAGACTCTTTTCCAACTGACTTCTGTGGAGTTCCATAATTCTTCCCATTTTGTCCTTCGGAGATCGGCTCTGTAACATTGCCACTTGCCTTTCCGTCTCCGTGAGCTCCTTGTTTACTTGTCCGTGCCTTTACTCCGCAAGCTTTTAATGATCTCAGAAGTCGATGAGGATCCTTACCAGACAATCTGGAACTAGCTTTCAACTAATATTTGGGGTGCCTTTATTCCAATTAAATGCCAAATTGCTGTTTTGACTTAAACCCATCAGAGGTAGGAAAGTGTCGTTGTCGTCAGTGTGCTATGCAATAATGCGCCGCCGTCATGGTCATCAGGGCTGCCTTTGTAGGGTGCGCTGTGTATTCATCCCCATTCTGAGTCCCTCACATTTGGCCTTCCGTAACTACGGGTTCTACCTCTGCAGACTCAGCCAACCACACATCGAAATATTCACGATAGGGCCACCCCATAGCCTAGTGGTTAAGGGAGCTGGGTTCCACCTGTTCAAATCCCCACCCCAGCAGCTTAAAAATACACCAGTCACATGTGCATGCATGCCCCAGATATTGGCAGGCTAGAGAAATGGAGGAGAAGGGATTGCATCGTCAGCAGACCCCTTTTGGGGGTGCTTTCTCCCTCTCTTTCTCTCCATCTCTGTGAGAGCACATACCCTCTGTTAATTTAAACAAAAAAAAGATAACATTGAAATAAATAAATTAAGTAAATAACAACAATATATAGAATATTAAAAAAATACACATTTAAAAACAGTGTAGTCATAGTGTTTACAAAGCATTTGTATCGCATTAGGTATTATAAATGACTTGGAGATGATGTGAAGTGTTCAGGAGGACATGCATATGTAATGTGATAATACTGTGTCTTTTGTATGAGGAACTTGAGCAGTCATGAATTTTGGTAGCTAGAGTGCCCCATGATACTGAGGGACAACTGTAGTGCTTAGCTACCAAAAAGGTAGATATTGATATCTTTTATTATCCCCATCTAACAGAGAGGGAAGACGAGGTGCAGAGAGGTAAAGTCTCATGCCCATCTCCCACCGTGGGGAGGTGGCAGTGTCAGCAGAACCCTCCTGACAAACGTAGTGCACCTTCTCCCTAATGAAGGATCGCCCACGTGTGGTGGGGGAGAGAAGGAGCGGGCAGATGCCAGGTTGGCTCCACCCCTCCCTGGTCTCTGCCTCCTACATACAGAAAGCATGAATTTTTTTTTTTTTTGAGAGGTTTTCGCTACAGGGCGCGTGCGCTCGCCAGACAGACAGAGAGAGACATAGAGACAGAAAGCGAGAAATCACCCCCCAGGGGGGATGGTCACGCCGCAATCCCTTCTCCTCCATTCTCCTCTTGGGATCTTGGGCACGCACGCACACGCGCCCGGCGTGAGCTTTAAGCCACCGGGTCCGGGACGCGAACCGCGGTCGACTACGTGGGCGTCCACCGACATAGCCATTACACTGACTGCTGTTTCCCCAGAAAGCATGAATTTTTTTTTTTTTTGAGAGGTTTTCGCTACAGGGCGCGTGCGCTCGCCAGACAGACAGAGAGAGACATAGAGACAGAAAGCGAGAAATCACCCCCCAGGGGGGATGGTCACGCCGCAATCCCTTCTCCTCCATTCTCCTCTTGGGATCTTGGGCACGCACGCACACGCGCCCGGCGTGAGCTTTAAGCCACCGGGTCCGGGACGCGAACCGCGGTCGACTACGTGGGCGTCCACCGACATAGCCATTACACTGACTGCTGTTTCCCCAGAAAGCATGAATTTGAAGGCTCACTAACACTACACTTCTCACAAATGCTTTGTATGGCCAACATGTAATAAGCCTTAAGAATCTCCTCAAATATTCCTTCCAACTTGACTGACAGGAACTTGCAGCATGCTAACACTACAGCTTAGAAATTAAGAGAACAGTAATTAATGAATCCCGCCTGGGTTACACCACAGCCCTATCAGTAACCAACCACAGAACCTTAAGCAAGTGTCTTCATCTTTCCAAGCCTCAATTCTACCCTGCTGAAATGGGGATGCCAGTAGTACCCCCTTAGAATTGCTGTGGGGAACAGGGAGATGCTACAGGAAAGACGCGGAGCATCGGTCCCGGCCGTTGGAAGCTTTCCATAACCAGAGCTGTTTGTTGCAAGGCCATGTAGCCGAGCGCTCAGAGGACAGGCTCAGGAGTCAGGCGCTGGCTCATTTGCCAGCTGTGCCACCATGGGCGAACGACTCAGAGCCAGGCTTCCTCATCTGTACTGCTAAGATGTATGTCCCAATTGTGTTGCGCAGCAGTGAGGACGAAGTGGTGTAGCTCATGTGGGGGCACGTCGGAGGTCCCTGGCATTTGGCAGGTACTCAGTAAGCATCAGGTGCTGGGATGTGGTGATTCCAGCAGACAGGGGAATCAGCACCACAACTTTTAGCTGAAACACAAAGTCCTCCTTTTTTTTTTTTTTTAGAATTATTTTATTTAGTTTTATTTATCATTATCATTATTTTTTAACTTGACAAGAGAGATAGAGAGAAAGTGGGAAAGCAAGTGGCCAGGTCCGGGACTCGAACTGTGGTCAGCCATGTGGGAGTCCTTTAACCACCATACCACCTGTCGGCCCCAGAATCCACCTTTTTTTCCTTTCTATACCTGACCCTCCTCACCAAAGAAAAACCCAAAATATGTGAAGTGATAAAATTGCTTACTTTTTAAAATAGTTAGTTAGTTAGTTAGCTTATTTCACCAGAGAGATGCAAGGTGAGAAAGCAAGCCTCCAGGTCTGAGACTCAGCTATGGGGGAATCCAGCACCTTAACTACAACACCACCTGCTGGCCCCTAAAATTGCTTATTTAATGTTGATTCTTAAAACATAAAGTTGTTCAATGTTGTTTGTTTTGGAGGTGCTTTTTGTGGTGTCTCATAAAAGTAACAAGAGCATATACCATATGAGTCTATGTAATGTTCTCAAGTACACAGAAGTAATATGGTCATGAGTGGTGACGATGGCTATCCTGGGCTGGGGAGGACTTCTGGGAGGCTGGGAAGGTTGTGTTTCTTGATCAGGGTGTTGCTCACATGGCCATGTTACATGCCCTCCTGATGTTTGCACTGCCTGTGTGTTTATTTTTAGTTAAAAGTTTACTAAAATAAGAATGTTACTCAGACATCCAGTTGCGCCACTTGCCCAGTAGCAAAGGGTCCACTTTCTGTGAACGAGCCTAGTTTTACATAGCTGGTCTGCATTCAAGACACAGGACCAGGCAGGGATGTTCCCAGTGAGCGTAGTTGGCAAATCCCCCTGCTCCTTCCCAGTGTGAAAGCAAACTTGGATTGATAAGCATGATGGTGGCTTTCTGTCCCCACTTATTACAAAGGCAAAAAGACAGGCTTTGTGGGGGAGGGGTAGAGGATACGTGCACTTGACAGAGAGAGGAAGCAAACCGCCCCTTCTTTCCCCCCACCCCCTGCAGTGGCGTGTGCTCATGCCTCAATCCCTTCTCTGTTTCTCCATCCTGTCAGGATTTGGGGGCATGCACACACATGCTCCCAGTGAGTTTCTCAAGCCACCATGGCCGAGATTCAACCCACATAATCAACTATGTGAGTTCCAGCTCCTTTAACCACTAGGCCTTGGGCCAGCCCCCCCAAAAAAAGGTAGGGGGTTGGGGTTTGTTTTTTGGGATTTTTTGGTATAGGGTGTGTGTATTCACCAGAGAGAGACAGATATAAACAGAGAGAGGGAAAATGACAAATCACCCCCTAGGGAAGTGGGACACACCACAGTCCCATCTCCTCCATTCTCCTCTTGGGATTTTGGGTACACAAACACACACACACACGGCATATTTTTCAATCCTCTGGATCTGAGACTTGAACTGCAGAGGTGGCCATGTGGGATCCAGCACCTTAACCACCATGTCAACTCTGGCCCCCAAAAAGACTGATTTTAATTCATCAGATTCAGACTTGTATATTCATTCAAAGCAGAAAGTCCACAAAAGGATCTACAGGGGAGTCGGACTGAATTTGAACCCCAGCTCCTCCTCCACTTACCTGCAGAATCACCTTTGACAAGTCCCTTTCACTTTCCGTCCTAGTTTTGTCATTTATAAGATGGGGATCAAATGTTTACCTTCTCAGACTATGAGAAAGTGGCCTATGGAAAATTCTCCATGGTAGCTTACCTTAGCATCCTTGTCATTACCCTTCATTTGGCCTCTTGCCTTCTCTCCTAGTTCACCATCTTGTATGTATTGAACCAGATCCTTTGGATTAGATGGTGGCTCTCCTGGCAGTTTCCCTTGTGGCCATAATGGAGACTTGTCAGCCAGAAATGGATCTTGACAGTGGTGCCATGTCTCTCCCCAGAGCAAAGGTTCTCTGAAGCAGGAGTCTCTGAGGCAGATCCAAGGCTCCTCTGACAGTGGCATGGATGCCACCCTCTGGCAGAGAGCCATGGCTCTGAGGCACTCCCAAAAGCCAGATGTCTAAACATTGGTTTATTGTGAATCTAAGCTCAGTCTTCAGCATCATAAGCAGAAACTTCATTGACGAGTCCCAAGGAATTTTGTGACAATCACATAATCTGTGCCCACTGATAATGTATCATGCAGTGAATAAAGCAACTCATTTCCCTTCCCACGCAGCAAGTTGGGTCAGGTGTGTGAAGCCGAAGTCCCTCCCTCCTCATGAAGCTGATGACCATAGCCCTCATCCTAACGACGATGTCGGTCCGGGGATTCTTTCCTCCTGAGACAGACTGTGCTGCGGAGTACAGGC